CAATGCGACCTGTCCCAGACTTCCCTGCTCAGCTGGTGCAATGCGACCTGTCCCAGACTTCCCTGCTCAGCTGGTGCAATGCGACCTGTCCCAGACTTCCCTGCTCAGCTGGTACAATGCGACCTGTCCCAGACTTCCCTGCCTTTAAGGCTCTGTGCAGAATTGGCCGCAGGAGTGACTGCACAAGGTTCCAGCTTCCCAAGATGGAAGTGAAGCTGTGGTCCTCACGCTAGGAAGGTGGGTGAGGGCCCCAGATGCTCACACCCTACAGGCTCTGGATTTGACGCTCAGGGAGGTGGGTATGGAGTTCAAGACTATTTTACCCCGAACTTAGGGAACAGGGGAGACCCCCTGGACCCATGGGTTCCAGAAACTTTCCTCTTGGAGCTCTCAAGTGTAACTTTCATGCCCTGAGTGCAGGAAGCCCATCTCCACTGTTCCTTGGGTTTCCAGGAGGAGGGAGTGGCCTGCCCCTGTATCCAAGAGGCAAGGCACGCACCTGACATCTCCTGCCAGGGATCCACCCTTTTGCCCCTTGCCAGCACAAATCACCTTTGAGTTTCCGGCAAACCTCATTTACAGAGTGAGCAGGTGGCTCGAGATGCAAGAGCACAGGTTCAGGTCCAGAGCTCTGCTGAAATCCTGCAGGGTTATGTAAAGCCTTACATAAACATTGAACTACATATTTTCAGGAAAATAAAGTTACACACATGTTTCAGGCAAGGCTTGTCTGATTTCAAAATTCATGTTATTTCTTGTCCGTCGTGAAGTTTTATTTTTCCTTTCCCCGGGACCCTGTATCAGGGCTTGAAATGGGAGCAGAACCACCATAGTGATAACGAGTAAGGGGCAATGAAAAGGACTGGACGGCATGAGTGACTGAGGCTGGTCGCAGGCCAGGAGCCGCTGTAGCTCAGCAGGGCCTCAGTGGGGAAGGAAAGGAGGGTGCCGAGTGCGATGAGTGAGGACAACGTGGAACCTGTGGGCCCAGTCTCCCTCCGTCCGCATGGTCACAGGTGACCCGCAGGAGATGCGACCGCCCTTTAGCATGTAACTTGTTCCAAGCATCCCAGGCTGGGCTCTCCAGAAGCAGACTGAGACAACGGGATGGCAGATAGAAGAGGACATGGATGTATGGGGGATCAGCCCTTGTGGAAGGAAGAAGGGGGAGGTACTGCAGGGGTTGCCACCCCAGACGCAGCCCCCACAAAGCTGGAACAAGCCCCAGGGCAGGGTGCTGGAGAGGAGGATTGCCCATCATCTCGCGGTGCCGGGACAGCTGTAGCTCAATCACTGGACGGCTGCTCCCCCAGGACAGTGTGACTTCAGGCCAGGCAGCTCTCTAAGGCAGCCCCTGAAGTTGCTAATGACTGGAGGCAGTCTGCTGCCCTGTCTTTTGCCTCCGTTCCCTACCCCCGGTAGTCAGCCCTGCTCTGAGAGGCACGCAGAGAGTGCGCCCTGTGGGTACCACCAAGTGCATGGCGTGGGTCCCTGACCCTGGCTGCCTGAAGGAGGAGGTCTGGTGGGAACTGCCCCCACTCACCAGCCAGCCAGCCCTGGAATGCCAGGGAGGGTGGCAGTGACACTGACCTCAGAGCGCCCACCTGCCCGCTCTGGGTGCCGGGTGGTACATAGAGGGACAATTAGTGGAGCGCCCAGTGGCTGGTGACTCAGGCCACGGCAAACTCCCTGCACCTGTATTCCCCACAGACTCCTTCTGAGGCTCAGCGACAACTCTTGGAGGAGCTGCTCTCACTTTGTGGCTTCCTTCCACATCCCCACAGGGCTCCAGTGGCTGTGGAGTTTGCCATCCCGCCCCTGCCCCACCTCGCCCCCAACCCCTCGGCCATCGGACCATCCGGGTGAACGGATTCTCACATGTTTATTGGCCATTGAGTACCTTAGAGTTTTCTTGTTGATTTGGAGAAATGAATTATATCTTCTAGAATCAGAGTATTTTCTAGGGTCTTGAGCAGCAGATTGAATAGAAATATAATGCCGGCCACATATATAAGTTTTCTAATAGCCAAACTTAGTTTCCACTGATTCCTAACTTACTACCAATCCTGATGGGATGAAAAACTGTACATTAATGATTTTCAGCATCCATTAAATTAATTTTTCCCCATGACTGAGTTACACTGATAACGTCTCTTTTTTAGATTTTATTTATTTGACAGACAGAGATCACAAGTAGGCAGAGAGGCAGGCAGAGAGAGAGGAGGAAGCAGGCTCCCTGCTGAGCAGAGAGCCCGATGCGGGGCTTGATCCCAGGACCCTGAGATCATGACCTGAGCCGAAGTCAGAGGCCTTAACCCACTGAGCCACCCAGGCGCCCCTGGACTCACAATGTTATAACCTTCTGTTTTTTTCTGAGTATTTTGGAGTGGTTCATGAAACACAGGAATGAAATATGTTGTGCAGATTTATTTAGTAGAAGGCTTTCAGTATAACTCAGGGCCTCATGATTTTTAGGCATTAATCTTGGGCCTCTGTTATCAGTCAGGGCTCAGACAGAGAAGCAGGACTAACAGGAGATGTGTATCAAGAGACTCACTGCAAGAAACAGGTGTAGGTGGTTCTAGAGGCCTGCTGGGCAAGTCCCCAGTCGCAGGGCGGATGTCAGGAAGGGCATGCTCCAGCACTACTGAAGCTGGTGCCCACCAGCAGAACTCCTCTACAGAGATCTCTCTCCTTCAGGGCTTTCAACCCACTGAATCAGGTAAACCCAGACCTGCTCAGATGACCTCCCTTTCTTCAAGTCAGCTAAGAGCTTTAATCACAATACAAAATACCGTACCAGCAACACCTAGATAGGTTAGTGTGTGAATAACTGAGGACTGGAGCCCAGGCAAGATGACACATAAAAAGGACCATCACAGCCTCTGTTACAATGTCATTGATTATTGATTCTTTTTCCTACCCCCGACTTGAATAAAATCAGTAATACACACACATCACACACATGTACATTTTGTGTCCTTTTTTATCCATCCTTCTTTTGTATTTTTATATTCAGATCGGTTGTTAACCTCTCATTTGGCTGCCACTATTTCAATTTGTGTGAACTTAGAGCCACTTGTAGTAGCAAGAGCTTCACTGCCTACAAAGGCCCAAGTAGTGAGGGTTGAAGAGAGTTGAAGAGAACTTTCTGGCAAAGCTGAACCCCCTTCTCCCCACTCCGGCCCACCCAGTCCCCAAACACATCCTCGGAGAAGGACCAGAGTGACCTCACATTCATATCTGCTTCACTCTCAGACCCCTTACCCACCACCAGGACCCCTCCCATGATAGGGGAGGGGAGGGTTAGTTTAAATGAGGTGGCCTGGAAGTAGACAGAGGTTGGCCCATTCCAGAATCACCTTGAGTCAAAAAAACAAAAACAAAACAAAACAAAAAAAACCATTTAGTGGATATGAATCCAATACTTATTGTTTATTGTAACTTTTATATAAACAGCAGTTTCCAGGCCTCTGATCTGGAGTCCCCACATTTCCAGCTGGGTGGTAATAAGTCTTTCTATTTTTTGATTAATTACTTCCAGTGCAGTTAGAACCTCAGAAATTCTACTTCTGACCCAAACTCTCAACATGAAAAATTTTATTCTTTTCTCCCCAAAACCCCTCCCTAACTTTATCCTGCATCTGCTCAACAGAAACTTCCTTTCCCCAATCAGACAGAAGGGAAAGAGGCAATCCTTGGGAGGGATTCCCAAATCCTTTCTGATTTTGTGGCAGAGAGGGGCATTCTCAAATACAGTTTTCTGTAATACGTCCACTGTTAGGCTTGACTCACGTTCTCCTCCCTGGCTGTTGTGGGTGCTTTTCTTATTTTTTCTTGTTCTTCCTGGAATTCCCTTTCCTACTTTCTCCAAGCGTGGAAGAAGAAACCAGTGAAATCTGGTCGATTCTTTTCTTCTGACCACGTAGTTTTTAGGAACAGATTGCTGTTAGAGGGACATTCATGTCTTTTCCTCTGGCAAGTATGTTCTGTTCTTGGGTTGTTTTCAAATTTGGGGAGGTATTAGAGATTTTTAGAACTTGACCTTTCACATCCTTCCCTTAGGCTGCTTTGTTAAGCGAAATGTTAGCCTTACAGAGTATGAGACATGTATCTTCTTTTTTTTTTTTTTAAGAATTTATTTATTTGACAGAGAGAGAGAGAGAGAGAGAGAGAGCACAAGCAGGGGGAGCAGCAGGCAGAGGGAAATGGAGAAGCAGACTTCCTGTGGAGCAGGGAGCCTGATGCGAGGCTCACTCCCAGAACCCTGGGATCATGACCTGAGCCGAAGGCAGATGCCTAACCAACTGAGGCACCCAGGTGCCCCGAGACTCCTAGAAATTAATTTCTCTGAACATTCCTTGCTCTAAAATCTGAATAGTGTGGGGGGGTTTTGTGTTTTTACTTATTTGCTCATAATTTCGTTGTGTTTAGAGAGGGCTTGCTCTGAGCTAGTTTAATACCACCATCTTACCTCAACAGCCCTATTTGGTCAGAAATTCAAGACTCTTCACCCCCTTCCCTGCTCCAGCCAACATTTGGACATTTCCACCAGGATGCGCACAGCTCACCCCAGATCCTCCACTTTCTGAGACACTGCCCTTGCAGAAAAATTACCATCTGCTATTTCTCTCTCTTGATCCAGGGCCTGGTAAACAAGAGATGCTTGGTAAATATTTAATTACATTATGTTTTTATTGCTGCATAACTGATACTCCAAAACTCTGTTGCTTAAAAACAATAAAGCCTTACTATCTGGCTGTTTCTCTGCCTTAAGAATTCAGAAGCAGCTGAGCTGGGTTGTTCTGATTTGGGATCTTTGATTAGTTGCACTAAAGAAGCTGGTCAGGGCCTCAGTCTTCTGAAAGCCTGGCTGGGGCCAGAGGATAAACTTCCAGATGGCTCGCTCCCATGCTGCTGGTTTTGTGAGGAGGCCTCTGTTCTTCGTGGTGTGGGCCTCTCCGTGGGCTGCTTGGGTGGCCTCACAACATGGTGGCCCACTTCCCCTCAAGTGAGCAATCTAAGAGAGACCAAGGCAGAAGACACTTGTCTTTTATCACCTATGATTGGAATTCCACACCACAAGTTCCACTGCATCCTACTGTGGTCAGCTCTGTTCAGTGTGAGAGGCAAACACACGAAGACACGACACCAGGAGATAAGGGCCATGAGGGGGTCATTTTGGAAGTTGGCCACTTCCGCAAGTAAGAGTTGATTAGTAGATTGGCTAGAAAATAAGTGTTTTGTATTCCACGATAATTGTCAGTCAGTTCAGAAAACATTTCCCTTTTTCATCCTTGACTACCTGGAGCAGAAGGTTATGATGAAGATAAATACATAAATGTTTTAAAAGTATGTATCAATAAAGTATTAAGAGTTAAATATCGGGGCACCTGGGTAGCACAGTGTGTTGAGGGCCTCTTGGTTTCGGCTTGTCCTGTGACGGGCTCTGTGCTCACAGATTCTCTCTCTCCTTCTCTCTCTGCCCCTCCCACTCATGATCTCTCTCAAATAAATAAATAAATCTTTTTTAAAAAAGAGATATCAACACTTACTAGCTTTTTTTTTTAGATGAGAAGTGTTAAATACTCTTTATTTAATATTATACATAAACCACACTAAAATGTCTTTCATTAAGCAAGAGGCAACATTTTAGATGCAGGGAATTTTTATTTATTTATTTATTTTTAAATGCAGGGAATTTTAATTAAATTGGCATAGTTAAGGAAAAAAAGTGGACACTGCCAGCTTATCTTCAACCCTTGCCTTTATCAGGCTAATGAACACAACCTGAAACACAGCTGAGTCTTGGTTCTGAGACAGTGAAGGGATTTCCTCAGTATTTAAATATATGAATATAACCAGTTATATAAATCTAAATATAAAACCAGTCTCCTATAAGTTTAGAGATGGCATTTACCACCTCTGTGAAAAGCTGAACATTACTAATCAATTCTGGCCATATTTTTAGAAGGGGAAAACTGACAGCGCTTGCTGAACCAGAATTACTATCAAGGTTCAAAAGCTGATCCTATTCATTTAACCACAAGCCCATCTTATTTAAATCAGGACTGTCCAAAAGAAATAGTCTATCGGCCATTCGTGATCTGAATTCTGGTGTATGAGATCATCTGAACACCTAAAAAAAGTCACGAGACATTTTTGTTTTGCAATAAATAAGGCAATGGCCAACTATTACTCCTTAGTAGATTTTTTGAGATAAGCTATCATGTCTGTTCTTTCCCCTGTCTTCTTAATGCCAGTGAAGATCATTTCTGTCCGAGGATGTGCTTCTTGGGATTCTCCAAATACTCCATCAGTGTCTCCTCTCCCCAGGTGATGCCTTTATTCTTTATTCTTGTTGGCATCCATGTAAGAAAATCCAGGAGCCTGGGGGCTGCCTGGGTGGCTCAGTGGGTTAAGCCTCTGCCTTCAGCTCAGGTCATGATCTCAGGGTCCTGGGATCAAGCCCCTCATCGGGCTCTCTGCTCAGCGGGGAGCCTGCTTCCTCCTCTCTCTCTGCCTGCCTCTCTGTCTACTTGTGATCTCTGTCTGTCAAATAAATAAAATCTTAAAAAAAAAAAAAAAAGGAAAGAAAGAAAATCCAGGGGCCTGGCCTGTCTTTCGGCCAAATAAACCATGGAGATTTGGCCCAGTCTTGTGCTTGCCTCCCTTTTCCACGGCATGGCACTGGGCACACTTCTGAACAAAAATCTTCTTGCCCTTCTCAACATCACCCTTTTTTAAATCGCTCTTTCGTCGCGCGTGAAACGAAGGTGCCTGCTCGCAAGCTGGACGTCCCGCTCTCTAACACTTATTAGCCTTTTTAAAATAAGCATTTATACAACACATATATCTGGATCTGGCTCCTCACATTAAAGAAATTTAATTTAATTCACCTGATTCCTCTCTTCTCTTTCCACCTTTCCACAATCAGTGTTATCTTTAGATAGTAATCAGAAAAAAAAAAATCACAGATGCCTATTGAGCTCTCAGGTGCTCTCCCATCTCAGACTGCCTGCCCACAACAATCCACTTCTCACCAAGACAAGCAACCCCAGGCTCTCCTTCCGTCTACGTCCCTCCCCATTTCCTAACCGTCCCTGTGTGTCCAGGGCACCCACTCACTGGAGTGAGTTAGGCAGAATCTGAGATCGGCCAAGACTCTACCAATGTGCACAGAGAAATGTAGCTTCACACATGTTTTTCCATTTTCCTCACTTTAGCCCTCCTGGCACCCTCCTCCAGCCACCATGTCTGTCTTTGGAGAAGCCGTCTAGAGTGGTTAATTTCATGGGTCAACCCGACTAGATCATGGAGTGCCTGGATATTCAGTGAAACATTATCTCTGGGTGTGTCTGGATGAGACTAGCATTTGAGATGGTGCACTGAGTGAAGTAGATGGTTCTCCCTGATGTGGTGGGCATCACCCAATCTGTTGAGGGCCGGATAGAACAAAAAGATGGAGGAAGGGAGAATTCACTGCCCACTTGACTATTGAGCTGGGACATTAGTCTTCTCCTACCCTTGGACTGGGACTTCCACTGTTGGTGCTCCTGGTTCTCAGGGCTTTGGACTCAAACTGGAACTATGTCACTGGCTTTCCTGGACCTCCAGCTTGCAGATGGATGTCATGAGGATTCTCAGCCTTCATAAGAGCATGAGCCTATTTCATACCATCAAGCTCTCTCCCTCCCACCCTGTACTATTGGCTCTGTTTCTCTGGAGAACCCTACGAACACACTGCTTTAATTTATTGTTTGTTTTCCCTTGGATGTCCCAGGACTATATTCTTTCTTCTCCTTCAAACAGGAGTTACACAGACAGAGACAGAAATCTCTGCCTGCCCCGGATGCGGCTGGGAGCCCCTTCTGCTGCTTGGGTGATTTCTCAGGCTGGAAGTCCTATAACTTTCAGGTTGTGCCATTTGGGAGTTACTGTGTTCTACAGCTCCCTCCTCTACGCATGGCCCATCACTATGCACTTTCTTTCCTCTTGGAAGGAGTTAGTGGCAAGTCAGTGAATTTATCATTTCACTCCCTGCATTTTGTTCTCTTTCCTGGAGACTATGACTTGGGCATGGCAGACTTTCGGACACTTCGGCTTGGCTCTCTATCACACCCGCCCCCGGCGCCCCTGGAGGCCACGCCTGCCCGTTGTTCTTGAGCCTCAGATGCACCTGTGGCCGGGACCCCCACACTGCACCTGCTAGGATGCCAGGCTCCGGGGTCCCAACCCGGCGCCTTGCACAGGCCCCCATCCACCGGCTCTGGGCCCCTTGTAGCCTTCTTCCTCCTGTCCTGCCTTGTGTCCTGCCTGTCTCCAGGTAGCCCACAGTTGTTCTCATGAGAATCCAAATGCCCTCCCCACGTTGGCAGGTGACTCCTGGATTAGTGGCTGCAGCCATCGCCCCGGCCTCTCTCCTTGCTGCTCCTCACTCCCATACCTGGGACTAAACAAGTTCCCTGGGCATGCTCTCTCAGCTCTGGGCCTGCACACCTATGGCTGCCCCTCCTGTTCTTCCACCACCTACCACAACAGCTTCTGCTTCTCCCTCCAGCAGAAGTGACCAGTCCGTTGTGAACTGGCCTGGCCATATGTCCAAACTCCCTGGGACACTGAACGTACGTGGGCGCTGCATCTGGTGCCTAATTCCAGTTTCCTGGCGTGTGGTAGGTTCTCAAAAATAGTTGTTGATGTAATACATTGCATGGCTTTTTGGTATGGGCAAAGTTTCTTGGCTGGGTGTCTGGCCCGTGAAGTTTAAAAATCACAGTTCTTATTTTTTTTTAATCTGATAATTCTGCTGTAAGTTTGTAGATAAAAATGGAAGTATGTATGTCAGTAGACTATAAAATATTTGGGTATTGACTCTGACAACTTAAAAATTTCAAAATAAATATTTTAAATTCTAAATAATATCCTGGATTTGCGGGTTTATGTGTTGCTCTAAGACAGGTAATGTATGTTTTGCTTTTTGCCACATTTATGGTTAAGGTTGATATTTAAGCCTCATGAAATGTTGACAGCCTGAGTAATTTACTATTTCTCTTATAGAAATAATTGTGTTGAGCATTATGTGTTTGTTGTTAAAAAAAACCTAAAACAATGCAGAAAATTCAAATAAAGAATGAAATGAAATGAAATACCACCGTCCAGAGATAGTTTTCTTTTATTTCTTTTAAATTAACATATAATTAACATATAATAACATATTTATTAACATATAATTATTTGTTTCAGGGGAACAGATCTGTGATTCATCAGTCTTACACGATTCACAGCACTCACCATAGCACATACCCTCCCCAATATCCTTCACCCAGCCACCCCATCCCTCGCACGGCCCACCCCTCCAGCAATCCTCAGTTTGTTTCCTGAGATTAAGATTCTCTTATAGTTTGTCTCCCTCTCTGATTTCATCTTGTTTCATTTTTCCTTCCCTTCCCCTATGATCCTCTGTCTTCTCAAATTCCTCTTATCAGTGAGATTATATGATAATTATTTTTCTCTGATGGACTTATCTAGCTTAGCATAATACCGTTTTCTTTTATTTCTTTTTTTTTTTTAAAGATTTTATTTTATTTATTTGACAGACAGAGATCGCAAGTAGACAGAGGCAGGCAGAGAGAGAGGAGGAAGCAGGCTCCCCGCTGAGCGGAGAGCCCGATGCGGGGCTCGATCCCAGAACCCTGGGATCATGATCTGAGCTGAAGGCAGAGGTTTAACCCACTAAGCCACCCAGGTGCCCCGTTTTTTTTTATTTCTTAAAGATTTATTTATTTTAGAGAGAGCACACGTGAGTGGGGTCTGGGGGGAGAGGAAAGGGCAGAGGGAGAGGGAGAGAATCTCAAGCGGACTCCCCACTAAGCAGGGAGCCAGACATGGGGCTCAATCCCAGAACCCTGGGATCATGACCTGAGCTGATATCAGGAGTCCCATGCTTTACCTAAAGTCTGAGCCACCCAGGCATCCCCAGAGATAGTTTTCTAAACATTCTCTACACATAGACTATTTTACATAAATATTTTTGTTCAATAATATATTGAAATCTATCTCCTTATAAAAATGATATCCTGTTTTTACTCCATAGACCGAGAAACACCTTGGGAAGCATCTCTTATTTCACCTGCTTCTCCTGCTTTTTTCTTGAATTCCTTAAAATCAGAGTCCAGCTTTACAGGGAAATTGAACTTCTCCAATCAAAAGGTATTCAGTGAACGATTAGTATATGCCTGTTCTTTGGGGACAGAAAGAGTGGAGTGAAGCGTGACTCCCAATCGGTTGGATCTGCGGTGACACGTGGAGACACAGCGGGTGTAGTGCACATGGAGAATTTAAGGCACACACGTGCCAGTCCATGTCTGTCCCCTGCCCGGTTCATCTGGAGGCACTCCTGGAGAAGGATGTCCAAAGTAAACTCGCAGCCGGGCTCAGGCACCTTTTTGTCCTTTTGGACTTCTGGTACCATCCGTGGCTTTGACCATGTCGCTCTTTCCTCAAATCCCCATGTCTTCTCTAATAACACCTGGCCAAGGGGGCACCCAAAAAAGGCAAGACCACAAGATGGAAAGCCTCTCTCTGAGGCTCTCTGAAGATGAGCTGGAATCTGTTACTCAAGTCCCTTCCCAAACTTCTAACAGATCACTTTTAAAGTTCTGCAGTAAAGAGGCACGACTTCCCCTTTAGCTGCGGAGTGCAGTCTGCACGGTGGTTTTCACGTTCGTGCCATTTGGAAGACCTGGTTGGCAAGTGGCACGTCCAACTTCCTGTTCCCGTGTTTCTCCACGCCCGACAGAATGGCGTGTAAGCAGTACCACGCAACTGTATGGTTTCGTTAGTGTCTTCTATCATCTAACCCTCCCCAGGTGGTAGCCAGCCACCCTGTGCAAGCAAGGGTGTGACTCTTGGCCAGGGAGGAAGCTAAGAGCTCCCTCCCCACCCCCCAGGGAGGCTGCTGGCAAGCACAATGCCAGACCTGCTGCCGGATTTCATCCCCTTGGGTCAAGTGCGTGTACCGTATCTAAATCAAGGGGATGCAGTTATTATGGGGAAGCCCCTAAAGCTACATTTTCAGGGGTTTTTTGCAATTAAAAAAATTAAACTGAACTACGTGGAGTCTTTGGTAAATCCTGGAGAGAAATCACCTTACAGCGAGGCTGCCCTTGCTCTGCTGTGTCCCTGGGATTGTGATAGAATAGGAACAGGACTCGGGGCCCCTCCTCAAACCTTAAAGTGATGCGACTATACTGTAAAGTGAAAAGTCCCTAAAAGAAAATTCATGAATCTGTGTTTCTTGAGCAATATATTTTACAGGAATGCAGAAAAGAGGACATCAGCTTCAAAGAGAGAGTCAGCCCCTGCAAAAAACTAGTGAGATGCGGACCAAACCAGTCTGCGCCAGGGTGGAGCCCCCCACCCCATGCTGGGATCAGAGTCTGCGCAGTGAGCACTGGAAGTACCCACAAGATACCTTTCCCTCTTTTACTTTTTTAGTTTTTTTTTTAAGATTTTATTTATTTATTTGACAGAGATCACAAGTAGGCAGAGAGGCAGGCAGAGAGAGAGGGGGAAGCAGGCTCCCTGCCGCGCATAGGCTGTGAGACTGGATCCCAGGACCCTGGGATCATGACCTGAGCCGAAGGGAGAGGATTTAACCCACTGAGGCACCTAGGCATCCCATACCTTTCCCTCTTTTAAATGCTAAAAGTCACATCCAGGGGTGGAGATTTAACATGCTAATGAGACAGGCAATGTATGGAAAGCATAATGTCAAAGTAGGAAAGAGCCAAGAAGCTCTACAAGCTTAAACCTCTACAAGCTTAAACTCACCCTTTCCCAAGCTTAAACTCACCCTTTTCCCCAAAAATAATTCTTTTCTCCTTTCTTTCTTTCTTTCTTTCTTTCTTTCTTTCTTTCTTTCTTTCAGGACTTATTTATTTATTTGACAGAAACAAGGAGAGAAGGGATACAAGCAGGGACAGAGGGAGAGGGAGAAGCAGGCTTCCTGCTGAGCAGGGAGTCCCATGGAGGGCTGAATCCCAGGACTCTGGGATCATGACCTGAGCCAAAGGCAGACTGAGTCACTCAGGGGCCCCTCCCATCTTAAGTCTAAGAAACTCTCCATGACCTCTCCTCCTGGGGTCCTGGAGCATAAGCCCCCAGTAAAGCCTTGCCTAAAACTCCTATTTGGCCTCTTTCCTTTCTTCCCTTTCTTCTCTTCCCTTTTCCTCCTCCCCCTTTCCCTCTCCCCTCCCTTCCTTCCCTTTCTTCCTTTTTTCATTTTTATTTTTAAGTAGACTCCATCCCCAAGGCTGGGCTCAAACTCACAACACTGAGATCAAGAGTCCAAGGCTATGCAGACTGGCCACCCAGGCAATCCCCCCTCTTTTTTTTTTTTTTTTTTTTTAAAGATTTTATTTATTTATTTGACAGAGAGAGATCACAAGTAGGCAGAGAGGCAGGCAGAGAGAGAGGAAGGGAAGCAGGCTCCCTGCTGAGCAGGGAGCCTGATGTGGGACTCGATCCCAGGACCCTGAGATCATGACCTGAGCTGAAGGCAGCGGCTTAACCCACTGAGCCACCCAGGCGCCCCATTCCCCCCTCTTTTTAAGAAGATTTTATTTTTAAGTAATCTCTACACCCAAGGTGGAACCACAACTCACAACTCATGAGATCAAAAGCTGCTTCCTCTTCCAACTGAGCCTGCCAGGCGCCCCCTCTTGTCAATTTCTATCCCTTAGCTCAAGGATCAGGTTCAGAAGCAGGGTAAACCCTGGTCCCAAGACCTTGCCCTGTTGCTTATTCCCTGTCCCAGCTGGGAGCCCCCGAGGGGCCCAAGTGTAATGCCTGGTAGTTGGCCCCAGCTCCCCCTTCCTGCCGTTCACATCCAGTCACCAAGCCTTGCAGACTGGGTCTCCTAAAGTGTTCCTGGCTCCCTTTACTCCTCTTCCTGCAACCACTGGCTTAGTCAAGGTCATCTCTTATAGTCTGATGAAACTGCCCTCCTCTAGGTTCCCATCCCCGGCTTTGTGTCCCTCCACACTCTGTCAGAGCTGCTGGAGGGGTCTGCACGAAGGTGCCCCCGATGGTGACTGCTTAGAATGCTTCCCTTTTATCTTTCACTCCTCAAGAGGATGGGCTTCCCTGTGCTCCAGGCTCTGCCACCCACAACTCACACTCAGGCCAGAGGTCGGGCATGCAGCTTCCTGCAACACCGAGGAGAACCTGAAAGCGTGTGCAGGATGTGGGTATGCCCAACTCTGATCTAGCAGAGCCAATGACAAGCTATAGAGAAGAGAAGAAAGCAGATACACAAGAAATGAAGGTCTCCATTCCTCAGCTTTCTTAGAACTCATAGTATTCCCTGGTGTCCCTGGGAGTACTTGGAGCCACTGGCTTATCCAA